AGAGGAGACTGTGAGGTTCCTCACAGAAGAACAACTTTTGGTCAGAACACTCTCTCTGTGAGAGCCACTAACATCTGGAACAGTCTTCCTCTGCACATACGGGAGAGCCCTACACTGATCAGCTTTAGAGCTCAACTCAAACTATGGATGAAAACAAACCAGTCATGTGACCATTAAACTCTGAACATTTCCTTGTAATGCTTATATTGTATATTATATGTTCTTTCTTATGTATTTGCCTGCCTAGGGACTACGGATGGAAACTAGCTTTGTAGCTATAATCCGGCATATTTACATTTGTTTTTATACTGATGTTCATTCATTTGCTTTGTCCCTATTTAAATAAATAAATAGATAAAAATAAAATACAGTCCATCGCAGGGCAACACAGAAACAAACAGGACAAACAACCACTCACACCTAAGGAGGATTTAGAGAAGCCAATTAACCCAACAGTCATGTTTTTAGACTGTAGGAGGAAGCTGGAGTACCCGGAGAGAACCCATGCATGCTCAGGGAGAACATGCAGACTCTATGCAGAAAGACCCCGGGCTGGGAATCAAACCCAGATCTTCTTACTGCATCTAGCAGTGCTACCCACTGCTACCCGCAGCCATCTTTGCTTCACTGAATAAAACATTTAAAACTCCTATTCTGGCAAACTCCTCCTTTAAAAAGATTTTTGTAAAAACCGTCCAAAAAGACTAAACACACGAATTAAAATGCTCTAAACACCCCGATTAATAACCGATAAAACCCAGTTTGTGGCGATGGCGCCGTGTGAAACCTCCATTGGAGATCAGCAGTTGGTTTTTGATTGAAGGCTTGAATAAAGTCCTCCGCTGAGGTGGTTTATCCTGAAGTTTTTCAGTCCAGATGCAGACCGGCCGCTTCTGAGGGTGTTTTTGGTTGATTGCGTTTGTGCAGCTGGGGTAAAGAGCTTCCTGGTCCATATTGGATAAAACATTTCTCTGTGGGTCCATTCCACAGATGTGGAAACACTCAGAGCTGATATTATTTGTAGATTATAAATTTGATTAAGGCGTTAGTTGTTGCCATGCGGCTGAGTTGTTCAGTAGGATCCATCCTTAAAGCAGAGTTGTAGTTTATTTGCTGTAATAGATTCAAACTTAAATCCTCTACTCTATAGTGAGAGTAAAGAGAATTTGTTTTTTAATGTTAAATAAAGATCAAAATATATTTCCTTATATTTTTGTGGGGGTTTTTTTAACACAAAGTTCTTTGCAGGTGGTGAATTGGTAGCAGAGCTGTTCTGTGAAACAAAACATCAGGTGGTTTCTGAAAGTCACAAGGTTCTTTAAAAGTAATCTGAAAATTATACAAAAAGGCACTGATGAATACTTTTAAATACACGTACTTTTAAATACTTTAGTAATTTTAAAAGTGAGTTCTTCAATACTTTAACTCTAGTAATATTTGACTATGAGCATCACTACTTTTACTCATGTTTTAACGTTTATTACTAGAAATCTGGTGAGAAAGGCTTTTATAAGCCCCACAGAGATTTAAAGGGGCTTAAAATTTTTTTTGAGAGTTGGGAAAACAGATGCTGATATCAAATCTACAGCTTTAACAAAGTATTAGTCTCAGCTCATTTTCCAGTGTAGTCCTGTTTCTCTGACTGTGACTAACTGGATGTGGCTCGTCTCTGCTGGCTGGTCTGCTTCACTGTGTGTTTCCTGGACGGGGCCGCCTGTGGAGCTGGTTGACAGTTGCCTTTTGTATCTATGCTTCTTTTTCTATGTCTGCTTCTGTCTCCTTGAACCCCAGTGGGCCTCAGCAGATGGCCGCTCACACTGAGCCTGGTTCTGCTGGAGGTTTCTTCCTGTTCAAAGGGAGTTTTTCCTCTCCACTGTCGCTACAAGCATGCTTAGTGTGAGGGATTGCTGAAGAGTCAATGAGTCGATGCAATCAGCTGGTTTTCCTTAGGTAGAAAACTTTGAATCAATCTGACTGGATTGAGATGAGCACCTTGAGATGACATGATGTGAATTGGAGCTATAGAAATAAACTGAATAGAATTGAGGTTATAAAAAACATTAATTTAGTTGTAAGTGTTAAAATTCAATCATATTAATGTATTTGGCTTTTTAAACAAAGACCTGACTAAATCCTGTATCCTTTTAATATCCACTGGATGTATGCTGGTTTTGTTCAGTTGTGAAAACTGTTAGAACAGGAGACGTACAGATTTACAGTTTTAAAGCTAAAATATCTTTAAAAACGAGGTTCCTGGGGTGTCCTTCTACTCTCCTGACTAAAAAAGAAGTGATGCCCTGCCGAAAAAATTTATTATTTAGTTATTTCGTTTCGTTTGTCTCAATCCAGGTTGCTTACCTACTGAGCAGAGCTGTGGCTGACGTGTAAAATAGAAGCTGTGAGATGCACTGTGCTGCATTATAGGCTCAGATAAAATACCTGTCTGTGGTCATCTGAGGTCCAGGGTTGCCATGGTGATAAGAAATGCCAAGTGATGTCTGGGTAATTTTATTGGGATTAAGTCTGAAAGTCTGGTTATTACATTTTCAGGACAAGTAAGACCTAAAGAAAGTGTTATAAGAGCAATCAGAAGAGGTTTCTTGAAATCCCCGGTTTAAGCAGCAGAGCAGCCAATAATAGGCGACTATAAAGCAAAATAAAGTATTCAGTGGGGGGAGGGGGGCTGTTTTTCTCTGAATGATGATTAGTTTATTTAGTGGAAACAATGAAGACTCACTTGGAGGCAGGTAGGTCCCATTTACAGAGATGCCAGCATGCGGCCGCAGTAATCGCTGCAGGTTCCAGGGGGCGCTCTGAGCAAAGATGGATGAATCTTCCTCTATGTAATGGACATGAGGAAGCTTCACAGCCTGACAAGGACACAACAATAAGGTCAAGATAACAAATCAAGTCACGTTACTTCAATCAGATGTTAACAGATTTATAAAAAATAAAAAAAACAGGCAAGCAGGACATAAACCATAAAATTAATTTTATGCTAAAACACTAAAAAAGCTTATATGGAGCCCATTAAAGGTACGTATACTCCATCCTATATCTCTGACAGACAATCAATACTGAGGAACAAGAGGCACAAACATTTTTCTATATTTTCTGTCGAGGAAATGTTCATCCATCTATAACTGCTTGTCCTTGCAGGGTTGCTCTATTTAAGCTGCCATGTCCAAGAGCAGGGCCACGCAAAGAAAACTGCTGCTTAGGGCCCTGGAGGAACTATAGGGGCCCCCAGAGGAAGTAAAAAAAGCTTTGTATTTTTTTTTTTTTTTTTCAGTCTTTGCATATAAAGGATTTTTTTTTTAGTTGTAGAAATAAAAACACATAAATCCATGATGAAATTGTATTTTTTTTATGTGCTGCTTCTGGGGGTCAGTTTGTTGCGGAGACGAGGATCAGTGTAAACTTCTTAGAGATAAAGTTATCTGATAGTTAATGGAGGTCATTTCTCTGTCTGTTTATACCAACAGGTTTATTCAGGGTTTTTCTTTCTATTTTTGATCAGGTGAATTTAGTTAGTTAGGAAAATGTTTTTTTGATTTGGTTGATGTTAACTAGTCTCTTTTGTGTGTATTTGGTTGATTTGTTTATTGTTTTTTTGTCAAATTGTCTGAAAAATTGTCCAAAATAAATTCCTATTTATTCATTCATTGATAGTGATGGAAGCTTGTTAGCTACAGATGGAAAACTTTCCAGACCCCCTAAACGCACAGACGACCCCGACTGGAACTGCAGTCTAGCTGTGAATATCGCATGTGACTCATGTGGCCATTAGATTTGCTGCAGTGTTCTCATGGATAACTTTGCAGTCAGGAGGCAGAGGTTTGAAAGAACAGATGGAGGATTGAGGAAGAACAGAGTAACACGTTGCATTCCTGAATTCTCCCGAGTGGTGCCCGACTTTACACGACTGAATAAAGTGAATGTGATTGGTCTTTTATCAAGGGGGCGGGATTGTTGTGGTGGAAGGTTCGCAATAATGTTTGGTTGTAGCTGGTTTGTAGGAAGCATCTTGCTAATCAGTTAGCAACTTAGTGCTAGCAGGTTCCCAATGGGAAATTCCATTGGGACCAAGTAGCACTAAGATGCTAACCAGTTAGCAACTTAGTGCTAGCAGGTTCCCAATGGGAAATTCCATTGGGACCAAGTAGCACTAAGATGCTAACCAGTTAGCAACTTAGTGCTAGCAGGTTCCCAATGGGAAATTCCATTGGGACCAAGTAGCACTAAGATGCTAACCAGTTAGCAACTTA